AATAAATACACAAATCATAATCATGATCAGTCCGGTAAAAACATAGTTTCTGTTTTGGTGAAGCCCCACAGCTCATCTTTCAAACTGATCCAGTGTTCATCACATGATAAAACTCTGAATAAGTTGAAGAACTTTTACCAGTTCAACCGATATATAAACTTGGAAGAGTTCTTCCATATACTTCTCCAAATCGCTGAAGATTTTATCTTACTGAGTTGGAAACCTATACTGCGTAATACCAGATTATGGGCGATCCTTTCAAAAACCCCGATTCATATTGACAATGATCTTTTTTAATTTCAGATTTCTCATGCAACGACTTCTCCTGCTCTAAGCGAGAGAAAGAAATACCAAACTTTCTTCCGATTGTCTCCAGGGGATACCTCACTCAATCCGGCCAGGCGCATGTTTATACAACACTTTCGGTGGGATACCGTAGCAGCCTTATATGAAGATAATGATTTATTTGCCCTTGTGAGTGCCGCCTTTTGGTTTATTTTTTTTTTCTCACAATTGTTATACATAGATTTGAATACATGTAATTTTTTTTTTTTGCTCGTAAGACGTGTTCAGACCGATATGCATCAAACTATATCAACCGTTTGACGACAAGTAACAGTGACAGAAAAATAAACTAGATGAGTGGAGGTCTGTGGGTTAAGAGGGTTGGGGCCCCTCCCCCGGGATTATTTTTTAAACATATGCTCTCCTTCAGGTCATTTTACTTCTAGTTCTCCTGAAGCCATTTTGACACATCTGTCCCTAGGATAAAGTATTTGGCATATCAGAACTTTGAAACAAGGTTGCGTTCCCAAATACATTCATATTGTGTTCATTTCATATTGTCTAGCGTCTAGCTTTCGATGAAAATCCAGTTACATGAGAGGTTCATTCGAAACTTATAACAACTATTCTTATTAAGAACCAAACACAACTGGTGATCGTTATGGTGTATAGGCACATGTATTTTTATTCCAGGCTATAACTGATATAAGTGAACACTTTGAGGTACATAATATAACCCTGAGACCAACTATTGCTTTTAAAGATGGTTCAGAAATACCAGAAAAAATGCGGCATCTGAAGGTGAGAAGGATATGAATTGGATATCAAATGAAATTCGTCAGCAAAGCTTCCTTTAGTGATGAGAAATTTTCAGATATGTTTCTGAACGCAATTCAAAATCTTTGATGAGACTAAGCATCATGGCCCTAAATAAAAGAATAAAATTGTTTATTATATCATCACCGAATATTGCTTGCTGTCGAATGAAATCGTGTTGATCGTCGTGGAAGACCAGATTGTGTACATCGATCATTGTCCACCCGATCATGTTCGATTACCTGACCTGTTACTTGTGATATTTGGCCTTTGAAAGACGTCTTTTGGTCTTTATCTTTGCTGCTAACGTTCTTGAACCTGTGGTTCATTTAAGCTACCAGCGCAGAAAACGAACGGAACCAGTTGCTTCTGCAGGCAGTTGGTAAAACGAGAAACTCTAATTCTGGCCTGAACATGGGTCGAAAACGGAAGGCATTTAAAATGCACTCAAATTATCGCCAGCGTCTTAAATTCAGCTAACTTCCAATTGGTTTTTATAAATGTATACCAAGTGTTGCGGTTTAAAGAAAGTTTCATTGAACAACTTTAAACATTGGACTCTGTATTCCGTCTAAACAATTTCATCTAATGCATATTCCAAACCAAACCCAGACACGCGTTTCTTCATCATTTTCTAAAAAAAAAAAAAAAAAAAAATAGCGCAATTCACTTTAAAAGCCAATTTTAATACAAGAAAATTACGTTAAAGGTCAACCTAAAAAAATGAAATTAGACAACACAGTGTTTGTGATGGAATTTATAAATGGATATTAAAAAAACACTATAAGTTTGTACTAAGTTACATCGTTGACAACAAAAGAAATAAGAAATTTTTACTTGTCAATAAGTTTTCTGTTTCTCTTAACAACGTTTTGAAAACAATGGAAAAGTACGTTGAACTGAAATGCATTCAGCAGAATTATTTTAGACTACATTAAATAAAACTTTGAGTGCTAGAACTGAATTCTTCTTTCGGAAAAAGGGATGTTTTTTTATGTTACATTCAAACTAGAGAACGATTATGCAGCGCTCTCCTAACATCTATTGAAACTAAAAATATATCTCCATACGTTTTTTTTTATCACTATTAGTTTTGCTTTCGATCACATATTGAGTCGATTGTAGTTTTGGTGAATATATTAAAAAAAATATACTATGTGGACTCACCAAAATATATGCTGCGATGACACCACGGGTGTCCAAAAAGAGAGTTCTTCTTCTCATTGTGGAGCTAAAATGAGATGAAAACTTAAATGTTGACAACCCAAGGTCCTACCGGAAGAAATACTTTGTTGCAACATGACCAGAAAGAATTGGCATACTTGTCTGGTTAAAAAAAAACTCACTTCAGTACTAGCGTATTTAGTGGCTCTCCGCTCAGGCTTGTAGAGGATCGTTTTTTTTGATTAAAAATCAGACCCTCTAAATGCTGACGATTCATCTAGGTCATCTGAAATCCGTTGTCTTCTGTCCTCCCGGCTTAAAGCCTCGCGTCGGAGGGACATTTTGCGCCTCCACCCCCCGGACATTTTCTAGATACACCCCTGTATCAAACTACTTAAACTAAGACTCAAGATTTTAGAAAGTATGGTTTGCTAGATTCTTATGATGTATGTTACGGCTGTTTGAAAATTGAAAATTTATTTTTACTGGAATTGGAGTCAAACAGCACATAAAATAAAGTTTAAAGCAATTCAGTTGTCACACTTGAATAGCAAATTGCACATTTTATGAGAATTTCTAAGGGATATATTAATATTTTCTCCGAGTTAATAACGTCTAGGCTTTGATCTCTGTATTAATTGTTATACTCTTCTGCATTTGATTTCATTATTTTGGCATAAAATTTTCTATACAGGTTCATAAACCATTGTAATAAATTAATAAAAACCAGAGTATAAAGTTATGGTGATGTCGCCTCTAAAATCTTTGACAAGTGTCTTGATGGTTGACTTTTTTTGGAAAAAATATGATAAAAATATTTCCTAAGAATGAAGACAGAAAAATTATAATTTAATCTGTTTGGAAAAAAGTTGCAGAAATACTTGTTAAGAATGAAGACAGAAGAATTATCATTTGATCAGTTTTATTAGAAAGTGCCTTGGTAATATTCTTCCAAAAAAGAAGAAGACGTGCAGTTCTGGTTGAACTTCCTCTTGGCCTTGCCAGTCATTTTTAATGTATTCTTTTCAGGATTTGACTTGAATACAGTGAGATAGCAACAACCCGTCAGTTCAAATACTGACTTCAATTTCTATGCCGCATCGAAGATTGGTCTAATAGGAGTTATCGATCTAGCATCTTTTGGTCAAAACCCACCTGATATGCAATCTCAGATGGTATCCTTATAAAATAGTGATTTTTCGTTTGTGGTATTCAGATAATTGGTCTAAAAGCAATTATCATTGTCGTATCTTTTGTTAAAAAAAACAGTTGGTAGGCTGATGGTATCTTTGTAAAATAATGAATTTTCTTTTTTTGGCATACAGAAAAAAGTGGTCTAGAACAATATATAGTTGTACTATATTTAACAAGAATTTTGGTCAAAAAGCAGCTGGTAGAGACTCTAATATGGTACTTTTATAAAATGCTGATATTTCAGAAAATTAGTTTTAAAAAATTGTAAATAGTAACAATGGCAAGAATTCTGGTCAAAAACCAACTGGTAGATAATCCAAAATGGTATCCTAGTAAAATAATGATGACTTTCCTTCTGTGTTTGTTATGATGATATTGCATTGCATGTTGTCAGGTTTTGTTTCTGATGTTGTCTACTGGATTGATGAATATATTCTGTACATTTTAAAGTACATTGTTTTTGTCTTTTTAGGAAAAAGATGTAAGAATTATAATTGGTGGTTTCTCTGAATCGGCAACAAGGCGGGTTTTCTGTGAGGTATGTCAGGAAAATAACATACTGTTCAGAATTTACTATATGTTCATGATCTTTAGGAGTGCTCGGTGTTCTTACTTTACATTATTTTCTGGTGCCTTCCTGATGTTACAGATGTCTTCGCTGGACAGCAACTCTATTCATAGCTGCAACACTTGACGGAAATCTCTTCCAGATAAACTAGGTGCCTCTTTCAACGGGGGCTTTGTAGATTAATATACATACTGAATAATAACTCAACTAAACCCAGCTTATAAACAACAAGGTTGATAAAAAAAATCCCTCCTCTTCCAGGTGAACCCTGTTTTGTCTACCGGACTTCTGAGGTGAGGTTGTTTACCCTTGTACCATAATTCTTATCTTTCCAGGCGTATAAACTTGGTATGTACGGTGCTAGGTATGTGTGGATATTAATTGGTGGTTATACGTGGTTTAACATGACCTCAGATACCACGTGTACATTACAACAAATTAAAAAAGCAATGAATGGTTTTATAACTGTTTCGAGAAATGTTAACCATCTGAATACTGAAGAAAAACCCTTAGCTAATTTAGTAAGTCAGAAATATTAATATTCGGGAAGGAATATCGTTTTAAGATGACCTCTTACCATAGCGATTACTAGTTCTGTATGGTTGTGAATAAGAATAGAGACCATGCCTGTCCACTGGGAACATCTGATACCATTCTGTTCACTAAGGGTACCTTTGGGGAAAGCATTGGCTATTGCATCCACAAATAACATAAGGCATACATTGTATTGTATTGTATTGTATCAAACTCATTATATGTTATATAAGTTACTTGTCACTGGCAGTGTTTGGGGAGGGGGAGGTAATATATCCAGAAGGGCAATGGTGTATGGTGTTTAGTTGCAGTAGTGGCATTGGTCGGTTTCAGGGGTGTAATCCTTCTTTTCGGTGGCAACGGACCTTGTTCATTTCGCAATATCAATAATATTTCTTTATCGTTGTAGAGTTCAAGTACCTTTCTGTCTAAATATTTAATGGATAATGGAAGTAGACCTGTAAGCCAATTTATCGAAACAAGTTATGATACAGTATGGACAATCGCCTTAACGTTTAAAAGTGCCCTAAAACATTGGATTCAAACGGATTATTTTAACAACACAGTGCCGAGTTTTTCTAATGTGAATTATTCTAGAATATCAAGACTGAGACAGACTTTTTACAGCATTATAGAAAATGTACAGTTCTTGGGAGTCTCTGTAAGTTCTAGTATCTGATTCACAAAAACCTAACTTATATGAGATTATAAAGAGGTTTTCTAAATTTTTTATGTGCATCGGGGACAGTAGCATCAATTTGCACCATTCCAATTTTCAGTCAGACATCTGTGGCTCTTGCATTTTTACAGGAAATAAGTATTGGTGACATAACTTACGCAAAATATGCTTGTATCACTTAAGGCCCTACGAAATTAGTGACATCATGAAACACTTAGTTATAGTGGAATTGCAGGAACTGTCTGATTTTAACAACGTCATCTCATGATTGGTCAAACACTAAATTTTATAAACCAATTCAAGAGCAGTATTTCTGCCTCCCTTTTAAGTTAAGATTTCAAGAATAAGGCCTAGCTACTAGGCGAGATATTTTCTTGCTTTTCGCAGTAACAACCTTGAGCTATAACTAAAACTTCTTGATTAAAATTGAAATCTGTAGAAAATGACATACATTGAGTGGCTGTATAATAAACTCTCTTATCAGGATTAAAATTATCTGTTTCTTGCATGTTTGAGGCTTTAAAAAGATTTGTATTTGACAACATGTATTAAGGATACATGGAATTTTTAAGTCTACTGCAATTCTGACGTGCGTTTGTCATCATTTTGATATCATTTTGATCTACCTAGACGCATTGTGGTTCACTTTTTCCTTATACAGATTTCTTAACACGCGATTTGGAGATTTATAAACTTTGGTGTATCTTAAAGTCGTGACAAAATTGACTAGATTCACATCGCTGTGCAGGTTTCATTTTCTGCAATTCAATCAAAGCTTCCTTTGGTCTATTGAAGGATTAAGTTTGCAAAGTATTGAAACATTTCGCGTTATGCTGTCTTTCCGTTTTGAGTAACAGCGAAGAACATATTCCAATATTCCATTACAGGGCCCGGTTTCATTCCAAGGACCAGACAGAATCGGAATCGTCGCCGTTTATCAACACCAAGGTAAGCTGTTCATCATTCAGGTAACTGTTTAAAAGAGCTCCTGTTAAAGTTATCATTTAATGTCACCCTGATTAAAATTCAGTACAACTGTTGGGAATTAACTAGGTAGTTATTTAAACCACGGTCGCGTTTGATTGTATTCTATTCTCAGAGTTGTCTTTTTCAGGCGATCATCTCCGACCACTAGCAATTCACGATCCAGCCAAAAATAGTTTTGATTTTCATTGTTCACAATGTGTCCCTGTGATCTGGCAAGGTAAAGTTCTCAGTAAAATTAGAATATTTATTTATTTTTCACGTGGTTGGCTTTTTCTCTAAACATCTTTGTCCAAATCAGAAATTTCAGTCAGTTGCCAAATATGAGAAAAATAAAAAGTACACATAGTTGGTGCCTAAAGTTAGATAATTTAAGGCCTGAATCACATAAACTCAACTTAACATGATTTAAACAACGTCATCTGATTGGTCAATCACGTAATTTTATAAACCAATTAAATAGCAGTATTTCTGGTTCCCTATTTAACTAACTACAGTTAGGGTTGACGATACAGAAATTGCGAGTCTCTATCAACGCAATGGGGGACTGCCTGTCGCCCGCCCATTTTTGTTATTTTGAATATTTTTGTGGTTTTTTTTGGGGGGGGGGGGGGGGGGTGGGGGGTAAGGAGAGGGTATGCTATAAAGCACTTCAATATTCCTGTAAAAACATAGTTTGCAAAATCAGAATCCGCAGGAAGCGAACGTTAACTTGTCATCTACCTACCTACCTAGCTGTAATAACATCTTCGAACACAACAAGTAAAAAGAAGTTTGTTTGTGGTTGAGCACAATTAGTTGACCTACGGACTATTCTGTTCTTATTTTCTCCAGCTTCATCTCAAGTGACTAATTGGAAATAAATTGCTTAGCATTCTACAAACCTACTTCTGCGCCGGAAACAGAACAGGCATCGAACAAGACACTTGCAAGAACCGGAAAACGTCTGATTGGTTATTGTATGACGTTTATTTATTATAGACGACCCGGTGTATAAACAAGGCGTTTACATTAGCCAAGACTAAAATAGGAAGAACGACAAGAATGAAGAATTAATCGTAGCATTATTTCTTATAAATTGGCTTTCGCTCTCTCAATAATTACAATTTGATTGGATTTTTCGTCTAATTTCATCGTCGTTCGTCCATCATGTAATGTATAATTAAGTAGATTGATCAACGACGATAGCGGAAATATGGGTCAGAAGGTTACGATGTATTTGATTTGGTTATTCCTCCAAGACGGATGTTCATTTAATATGAAGATGTTTAGAATTTAATTCGTTATTAGCTGCTATAAAAATTAAATATTTCAAACATGATGTTTACATGATTAGACACACGCGCCATTTTAAAAATGATTTGGAAAGCAGTTCGTCAGAACCTATTTAAAGCGCCTGAACGTTATTCCCGTTTCAAGGTTTCAGCCATCTTGTGATGTCCGAAGGTGATTCAGAATTATTCGAAATATCTAAAACCCAATTACTAGCTGCGATATAGTCGACCCAAAAGATTTACCGTTGTCCAGAAATCAAATTTGGTTGTTGTTTTAGGTGGTTCCAGAGATCGTGTGCGATGTCTTCCGAATCGAATTTTGTTGTTTTTATGGCTAACGGGAGATCGTGAGTGATCAATGCCATTCAAATTTATCGGAAAGAGATCAAATTGTCCATGGAATTTATCCGGAAATGGCCATTTAAATGGAGAAATCAAATTTGTAAAGGACGATGATGAACATAAACGAGTAGAAAAAGACTACAATCATGTATATGTGATATAAATGGCTTTTTGATTGGTGCCAAGAGACAAATTGAGCGTAGAAAGTTAGGATGACCCAACAATGAACGTAAAGAACGGTAATCATTGTGACATACAACTTTCGATCAAAATAGAAATTACTAATCCATTAAAAGTAAATATCAATATTGTAAAAAAAATGATTATCAAATATAATCAATTGTTACTTCTGCATAATGAACTTCAAGCGTGACTATCTCTTAAAGGCCATTGTTCGCCATTTACAGGGGTTGTTTTGTGTCTTGAACATACGTAAATAGTCTTCAGAACTACCAGAGCTGCACAAAAACCGCATAACCCTTTCTAAAAAAACTCAAACTATGTCTATAGATGTCTTTTCTATAAATGGCGTAGTCTCAAGAAAATACGACTCGTCATTTTAATTTTCAAATGCGGATAATTCTGGACACAACTCCTCAAATTTCGATGGTGAACTGTGAACGATATTATTTATCAGCTTAGCTAAAAACATTCCTGCTTCCGAGACTAAGGTACGATTGGTCGAACAGATGGTGAATCTGCCCCTTAACGTTTAACAGTGAACGACTGCCCACACCAGAAGACATCGATCTCTTTGTACATTATTTGTTGTGTGGACTCTCAGAAAGATATACCAAGTTGATAAATCTTGATATTAAGAAACGACGAAATGGAAAATACGTTATCCAACGATCCAAACCGCAAAACGAAACCCGAAATCAAAACAACATTTTGGCACATCAATGAACAGTGAAATGATTGACTGTCGAGCCCTCTCTCTGGCAATTCTTTGACCTTTACTCGCCCCTCACCTCAGTCCCATAGCCATACTTAATTGTTCGGAAGGGCAAGTAACATATACGGAGGAGCAATAGTATTTAGTATAGTTGCAGTAATGGAAATGGTCGGTTGATAGAAATCCATTATTTAGCCTCCTTCTCCACCCTGTAGCAACGGACCTGCCTCACCTAATGGTTAACAAAAGCACGACTGTCAGAGTAGTAGGATAATGAAGACAGATAATGGTGTTCAGACACTGTATAAATAGACTAGAAAATGTCAATAGAAACAAGTTAATTTGTCTCATTTTAAAGACATTTCCAATCTTATTGTCACAATATTTGTCTGCTTCCAGCTCGTCCACTGAGTTAAATCCTGTTTAAATTCTATTTTCTGTCGTTTAAGTTAACTGTCTATCTATCTAACGGACAATTGATCCATGCCTTCCGTCTTTATCATTAAATCTGTCAATGTCCGGATATCTTACAAATTTATTTCGAGCTTCTAATAACTGAGTGGTGGAACGTTTATTTAAATCATTTGAAATTGGCTTTGGGTGCATTTTGGTCATGTGTCCAAAATAGAATTATTCGATCTAATTTGTGGATAGAGGAATTCTAAATTGATGTCCACGGCTTGAACAGTATCCGACAGTAAAATTTCAAATTGCAAATCCTTCTTCCAAAAATAATTTTGTAAATCGAATTAATAAGGAGAATATATTATCCGATAAAACAAACCCAAACTCAACCATTTTGATGAGTCATGAATGTATGATACCAGAATGTACATGTTACGAACTGCATGTAATACCTTGACTGCAAAAATCACTTTTCTTGTCCCTTGACTAATATACATACATAATTATTTTTTTTTATTCCAGGCGATCGTGTACCACGTGATAAAAAGATAATACGTCATCGTCAAGCAACTATATCTTCTACTGTGTTTTTGATTGGCTGTGCTTTTTGTATATTTGGAATTGTATTAGCTGTGTGTTTCTTAGCTTTTAATTTATATTATAGAAAATTAAGGTACGCAATGAGATTACTATGGAATAATAGCTGGATTAAAAGTAATAATTTGATAGTCGTATTACAGTATAACACCTTTTGAGTGTGTATTTTTGATGAATATGCTAAAAAGTTTAGCTCAATGTGTGCTCTCTGAACCGATTGCTAATTTGAAAAACCAATGTTATATTTTTAGATATATAAAACTATCGAGTCCTATATTAAACGATGTAGCTGTTATTGGTTGTATTCTGGTATATACAGCAGTTGTCGTACTTGGTTTAGATGATTCCATTCTTCCTCTCAATGTCTTCCCTTTTATATGCACGGTAATTGTATATTTATAAAAAAAAAACTTACTTGTACTTGTCTATGACAGCAAGCAAAAATACGATGACGCTTGCAGAATAATTATTTATCTAAAAACTTGCTTGCTGAAGTGTTTGCATGCGTTTCTATGACAGCAAGCCATATTATGATGCTTAGAAAACAAAAACAACTGATAAAGTGAAAAGAATTATCTAGCCTTTTATATGCTTTATGGATTCGTCTGTAACCGTAATTTGTTTTTATATTCTATTCAATTGTATATTTTACAGAATTTTAGACAATTGAAACTCCTACTTATGGACAGTCATTTCTTCTTGTATTTCAGCTTCGTGTTCTGCTTTTTGCTGCTGGTTTTTCTCTTGCATTTGGTGCTATGTTCGCTAAAACTTATCGTGTTCATCAAATTTTAACAAGAGCACACACTGGACTGCTTAAAAATAAGGTTAGCATTGTAATTAAAAAACTTCCTGTGCTATTACAGTGACTGTTTTCAGATAGAAAGCTTGGCGTGTGGTTTGTATACAATCACTTAACCCTGTGTAAATGGCGAAACATTGGTAGCAGCCAATGAATTGTTCACATGAGGAAGTTTATCAATCATGAGTGAGTAAGTATTTCATAATGGAAAGTGGTATCAGGTGTCTAGAAGAGTAAGCATTCCTGCCTCGCGTCACACGATTCCCGAATATTCATTATGTTTTACTACAAATACCAAATATCATGATTAAGATCACCGCTCACGTCATCTTTCAAGGATCAAGTTATCCATTGTGATTCTTTCCCATACCTTTTAGTCCAAACTAGAGTAGAAAAGTAGGACGTAGAACTCATACTATTTTTTGTATGTGTTTCAGTTATTACGGGATAAACATCTGTTATTTATGATTGGGGCGTTGTTAATACTAGATTCAGCTATAGTCTTTGTCTGGGTTTTAGTCGATCCCATGCAGCGTCAAATAACTAATTTAACTACCATTGTAAGTATATCATTTTTCTTTCTGATAGAACCATGAATCTGTGAACAAAAATAGAGCAAAATGGCATCAGATATACATAGATTATACAAAAATACAAAAATGAAAAAGATTAAATCGAGAAAATATAAATCAACAACTGCCGAATCTTATAGAATGGCAAAAAAGCATATTTTATTTTTCGATAACACCGTGCGAATATACATAAACACGACTGTCACCAGTAAGAGAATATCCTAAAAATGAAAAAGCTGAATTCGAGAAAATATTACTCAATAACTGCTGAAATCAGCCCAATAATTATTCATAATAAATAAACCAAGTACTAACACTAAACGCAACCCTAAATCCCAAGATATTGGCAACATTGGTAGCAGCTAGTGAACTGTTCACATGAGGAAGTATATTAATCATAAGTGAGTAAGTATGCATAATGAAAACTTTACTCAGCAATAGACATTATCAGATGACTAAAAATTAACTTATATTATAACCTATATCTGAGACCAAGTCAATTCATTATACTCTATACTGGAACCTATAGTGAATATTCTAAGTGTAGAATCATGTTTGTAGCCGGTAAGAATAGTCGTGTATTGAATTACAAAGTTAATTAAAACAGTAAAAACAAAGGCAGTAAGACAAGATAGCTAGAGATTGTGTGTAGGTCAGATAGCCTCCAGGTGACAATACACCGCGATCTGTAAGCATAAGTAACTAATGAACAATATGTTTGGTTTTGGAACTGATGGTACTTCTTGTTTGAGGAGTCTATATACTACTATACAATTATTACTCCCGATTTTACTTAAGCCTAATTCCAATACTATTTCTATAGATGCAGATTGTGCATAGCCTACTAAACCCTTGTCGGCAGCACGAGATAAGCACTAGACAATAATATAGGTTTAATCTCCAAGAGGTTCCGAATTGACAAGTATGTGACAACATGTCCTCGAGTTAAATCCCTTGAATCAATTGCTGAAAAGGCAAACTGTACCATCCTGCTTTGTATTTTGAAGTGATAAGACGGTTTTCTAAGTATACCCCCAAGATGATTTAATAAAAGATAACAGATCTTTGAAAGTTAAGCCGATTTAACTTGATCTTATTTCGTGATATTTTAAAGAGTATACGCCTTTTTCATTGACAATGTTTCCCGTCTTTTTGAAATCCTATAACGGCGTTTTTCTGTCAATTAAGGTGTTTGTAAGATATTGTGCGATACGGAAGCCTTTTGTCTGGAAAGGAAACGGAAATTTCGAATTTCAATACTTACATTGATAAATCACTTCATTCATAATTCCAGTTAACCCAGCTGTAAATGGGAACGGAAAGATCAGTGCCAAGATGTTTGGCCAAGGATCACCTAGTAGAAAGGATCCAAAGTTATTATCCTTGCAAAAACATACGTTTCTTTCTTAGTCGGTAAACGCAAAGTAATTGGTCAATCGAGGATGTTGTTTATAAATACTGGACATTGGAAGGCATCAGTGTCCAAAGATGTCGTATTTAACGGAAATGGGATTGTTTTTGAGAGTTTTCCTGTCACTTAGCACCCGCTATTTCTTTTACTTCTCAATGGAGAGATGACATGATATTTCCAGCAAATAACGTCATTGTCTTCGACAAATCTTGTAAACAAGTCATTCATATGTTAAATTAAAAGAGACGTTACGTTATGATACGTTTTTTTTACCCATGCTCTCTTGACATTCTGTACGTTAATTTAATGCCTGTAAATGGAAGTTTTCAAGATCAAGTCTGTATTTAATGTTATTTCTGGGATGGTGGTGCAGGGAACTTGGTTCAACCAGTCTGTATAATAGTTAAGCCACTGATTTTGGTTGTTTCATTCCAGGCTTCAGAAGATGATGAAGATATTTGGTATATTTCACAACTCGCCACGTGCCATTCAAATCATCTGCAAAAATGGACGGGGGCATTCTATGTTTATAAGGGTGAGTGTTCTAAATTCTTTGGTGAGATAATGGTACAGACATGTACAGATTCCACAAGCAAAGCGTCACTACAGTGGAGCGTCCATCAATATACCAGAGATCATTTGAGCACTAGAAGTGACATCAGCATACATTTTACTTAGAAGTTTCAAACTCAAGGTCCATAATCGCCTAGAAGACCACACTTATTACCTAACCTTCTCATTAAAGGAATAGTTGATCCTTTCACTAACTAACTTTCTCCAATGGAAATATAAATAAACCAAAGAGTATTTTCGTTCTGAACCGAAAAACCAAACCCGAAATCCAAAAACAACATTTTGGCGAAACATTGGTGGCAGCTAATGAGGAAGTATATCAATTATAACTAAGTAAATATTTCATAATGAACGGGGTATAAGGTGTAAAGTATTTCATTACAGGTCTGCTGTTAATATTTGGAGTATATATGGCGTGGGAAACCAGAAGTGTCAAGATTCCCGCGTTAAACGACTCTCAGTATATTGGTATGAATGTATATAACGTGGTGCTTATGAGTATAAGCGTGGTAGTCCTATCCAATATATTGTCCATGGAACCAACTTTAGCTTATATTGTAGAATCTTCTTTTATGTTCCTGTCCACGACTGTAACTCTGTGCTTGCTTTTTGTTCCTAAGGTAAGAGAAGGCCAATGGTAACAGGAATTCAATAACGTCAACCAATGAGCTATAGGGAATTGTTTTCAGTATTTCGGGGCATGTTCCATTCCACTGTCGAGGGATCTCAAGAGATATCTGTTTCACGCTTTACCCTTGGCAGTTGGACTAAAGTCAATAGAAAAGGAACTTAAAATGATCAATGATCTGCCAATTGTGTGCATGAATTGACTGGAGCTCATCTCATGTCAACACGTGTTACTGATAAACAATCTTCATCAGGAGAGCTTTATTGAAAAGTTTGAGCAATAAAAGTGATGATTGTAGCAGGACAGGACACTGTTCAGGTATCCACTATTTTTATGATTTCAGATATATGCAATAGTGACATCTGGTGGGAATCCTATCATAGCGTCGTCAGGAATCCATGTTGAAGCTAATACCAGGCGGTTCGTAATAGATGATAAAAAAGAGATTTACTATCGAGCAGAAGTCCAGAACAGAGTTTATAAAAGAGAGCTGGTTGAGGTAAGCGATTGAAAATATTTCACCAGAACTTTAAGGCAAGAGAGTGGTTATAGTTTGAGGTCTACCGAAAGTCTTGCGATGAAAGACATAACTGACTTCAATGACAAGAGATTTGTGCCTCATAGAAAAAACCCCCAGTTACGACCCTTTAATATAAGAATACTTCTGTCTTATTCAGGTTGAACAAGAATTGAATCGACAAAGACGTCTTTTAGAATTACCCGTGGAACCTTTTTCACGCATGACAGATGAGCTCTTACACCTACTTCCGGAATCAACAGTTGATGGTACGCCAGACATCCAAAGACGAAGAATTGAAGAACGCAGAAGGTATCTTACTGGGTAAATGATGTAATTCTGCTCAAACAGTAGAGTAGTTCCCATGTATTCACCCTGCGTAATTTTCACTGCATGCGGATGATAACCGCCAATATAAAAGGCTGCAAGATGTGTTCTGGATTCAACAACTTGTGCTACGAGTCGCTTAGACAACATCTTAGGATACAAATTTAGGTTCACAAAGGATCCGAAATCCAAAACAAGATATTGGAATAACAATTCTTTCACATTAAAAAAAAACAAGTACGAACGATCCGATCAGAAGAACGAAACCTTAATCCAAACAACATACTGACAATACATTGCTAGCAGCTAATGAACTTTTCAGGTGAGGAATTATGCCAATCATTTTTCTCTTCCAGGTGTAATTCCATATCTGATGACGGAGAAGTTTGTTACGGTTCGGAAGAAACAGACGGCTTCCCCAACATTCGGTTTTCATCCCGGAACGCTTCACCACGCGCGAGTCAGAAGCGTCACAGTACACAAGAAATGTCTAACGAGTCAGCTCTTCGCAAACTGTGTCGCATCAGTCGCAGATTAAGCATCGCACAGACGCCACCGTTAAGTCTTAAATTAGGAAAGACTTTAAAGGTTCCTTCTCCTAAACATAAAAGCCATTTTGTGGAATTTGATCCGGATGGAGATAACGAAGATGGCGAAAGTGTGAAATTCAAAAATAATTCGTGTACAGAGCTTTCATCGAAAGGCAGATCTGATAATACAAAACCTCTCAATACCTTTCAGAATTTATTTGGGCTGGGAGAAAGTTTCCAAAAATTTAAACGTGGCAACTATGAAAGTCGTGATGACCCGAATTGTAGTGAATCTAGTTTGGAGTTGAATTTTCTAAAACCAGCATGTGACGAAGCACAGTGTGGTCGAAACGGTAAAAAACATGTGGAATTCCAAAGGATAGAAAACGATTTGTGTGAAGCAAACGGAAATGGTCGTGAACGACGTCAAAAGCTTCATTCTCCACCGCCCCATATTCGAATCAAACACGTCGTATCCAAAGCGGACATGGTTTACAATCACATGCCTCTAAGACGGATGAGTAAAGGATTTGATAATTCTGATCTTTTGGAAAGGATGCCGAAGGAGTTTGATTCACTGAAGACTGATCATCAGCTATGTGATAAAGAGACTCCACCAAGCGCACACTTGAATAACGCACCGTCACCTCTGTATAGTTTCCATCCCAGCCATAGATCACCAGGCTGTGACACTACCCAAAGATCACCAGGCTGTGACACTACCCAAAGATCACCAGGCGGTGACACTACCCAAAGATCACCAGACTGTAACAGTAACCATAGATCACCAGGCTGTGAATCCCCGCCATTGCATTCTCCGAAACAATCAATCTTCCATTTCTTATACGCAGATAATCTTAGCGCATGCTCATCTCCTACATGTTTGTCCCAAACTTCACTCAATCTTTTATCCCCTATAAGATCTTCCACACAGTCGCCCGTTCGGACTTCAATGCATTCTCTTAGTTCGCAAGATGTGCAGTCTATAAAACAATCCCCAGTTCATTATCGCTCCTCGGAAGACTTCCACTCATCCAACACCAGTAACATTAATTTAGAATTGTGTTCCCCAAAAATAAACGCTGTTCGGCCATCGGATCATAGTGATCAGAATATGGACTTAATGCTGATTTTCCAAGATCCCAGGAACGGTTCATCACAATCAGCAGATGCTTTGGTCCCATCATTTATGGATTCTATAAATAACAATTCTCCCTCGCCAACTTATGAAAGTCGTTCTACAATTTCTCAAAATTCAACTGACAAATTCTGCTCTCGACCCAACTCTAATGATTTCTGTGATGACATTGGTCAAAATCTGACGTTGCCTTCCGATTGTGATTTCTGTGGTCAACCAGAGACAAGTTCTAATTGCGACCATCCAGTGATAACCGCATGTGGAAATGACGTCAGTATATCTATCCCGAATGACTTAACTCTTAAACAAGATAATGGTGTGTCAATTGCAGCAGCCCCGCAAAAGTGTCCGAATATTTTTGGAAGTTTGAACCATCAGTCACTATCAGAACAAAGTTCTTCCTCGTCGTACGGAAATGACATCTCGACCGAAACAGCATCGTCCACTTCCCCTTCTTCCCCATCAACCCATGATGTCGTACCCAAAGAAAGTGGAAAGGGTTCGCTGAAGCATAACCATCTTAGTACAATTACTGAGAGGAATCTCGGAGACAAGAACAAAGAGACAACTAAATTAAATGACATCGCAGATCTCAGCAGCGGCGCTATACCGAAAGCCGCACACAAAGACGCATCTCGCAAACACCGCAAACTGACAAGGGTGGAGTCCAGTCGGATTGTTGAACGCCGACTAAAAATTCGTAAACTGCAAACAGATTTGTTGAAAATTCAGAAAGAGTTGAATGATCTGGATGACCTAGAATATGATGTTTCTGAGGTTTAAAAAAGACAGAAATCATTTAGATTATTCACCTATAGTTCATATTTCTATCCGTATATTAACATGAAGTCAAATGAAGTCAAGTGAAGTCAGAGCTCAGCGGTTTAGTCGACTAAGAAGTCTACCAACCATCGATACCACGCTTAGTATTTGATCACTTGGCAATACAGTAGATAAGATCTTTGTATGGTCACAACTTAATGTGCGATTTTTATTCTGTTCTTAAAACAACTGGACAGCTACGTGTACTTATTTTTCGTTCAGAAGCTTCTAAGAAGCCCTCTGTCTAAAATAGTTAAAACCTAGCTTTTCTATTACATGTATAGAACGTTACATACTACACTGGTCTGAAACATCTGCCTCTATTTCAGCCTTGTTGGTTTGGTGGATCCAGCTTAATTCAATGGGTCTAAAAACCTCCGCACCTTGGGAAATTGGAACCAACAAAATAGAGCCTAATTTTTCTGTCTCTGGACCAGTTGATAACTGTCAAAATAGCTATCAGAGGCTGGAATAGAGACAGATGTTTCGTTTTACATGTAATCATTTGTAGGTTTGCTGATATGCACAATATATCATCATTTTGTATATTTCATATTAAATATTTTTGAAGTAATGAAGTGTTTCTAGTTTGTTGTACAGACAATTATGAGCAGGTGTCGATGGGGCATGATCAACTTTTCTGAAGTGAAATGGGTGAGCAATAGACGATTGTTAGTACAACTCTACCAAAAGGGACTTGGGCCAAGTTCTTGCTATTAAAACTATTCAATTAATACACCTAGTCACCTGGATTCATTGAAAATTTGTGTGGTCTAATTTATTTCAAGATCTCATAAATATATACCATATTCAAAAGCATTCTAAGCAATTGATCATGGACCGGATGCCATTTGGGCAGACGACCGCATAATAGTAACATAATGTTCACGTTCACAAAGGGATTTTAAAAATAGTAATGCATATAGTTTATTCTTTGAACATTTTATAAAATAGATTCCAAAACTTAACACAAAAAATCAACAAAATTCAATATCACAACAAATCAAATCAAATCAAATCGAGCTTTCAATATCATTTGTTCCTTAAACAGAAAGTTGGTGTATTGGCATGCTTTCCCTTAACAATGGGTACAAATGCTTTCAAATTCCAATCCCTTGACTGCAATAGCCACCTTTTTATATTGTGGAAGTTTGTAAATGCAGCAATTTGAGTGGATTGTAGGCTATGGAATACAGCCAATCAGAGCCCTGGACAGAGAAACAAAACAATTTCAAAGCATGTGATCGAAGGCTATGATTGGCTTCTCTATCCAGGGCTCAGATTGGCTGTATTCGCTAGCGTACAATCCAATCATTTTATTTGTAAACTGGACACTCTCATCAACCAGGACTCAGTGTTGCTATGGAAACGGGGGGACTGGAAGGACTACGAGAAAGGTCTAATGGTCCATCTTGATAATCAGAGGAATTGGACGTATCGGAGGAGGTCATCACCAATGGAACAACATTAATAATGGAGGTCACTTCTGCCACATCACTAGCAGACGACGTTGCGAAGGGAATGGATGAATTCATCAAAATTGATGGAAATTGCATCAAAATGGAAGGATCAGAGTGATTTAAAACTGGATCGAAAGTCTTAGATGAATCATTCGTATTGTTTTTAAATTGAGTAGATTCTTGTCCGTCTGCTACCACAGTATTACTAGAGTTATTTCCCTTGCCACTCTTTTGCGCTCTCTTTTTTGTGCTCACCGTTGCCACTGGCACATTTGCAGCTGGAACAAAATGTTTATGCGTCCTGACATGTTTCCGTAAGGAACTAGGGTCTGTGTATCGTTTGTTACAACCTGGAAGTTTACAAATGTAGGGTTTTTGTTCCTGGTGGGTTCGAACATGTTTAAAACGATCACTGGAATTGGAGTAAGCTTTGGTACATCCTGGATACGGACAGTTGTAAGGTTTCTCTCCTATAAATATAATAATAAAAAAAGTTTAGGGGTTTTTCTTACACACTTTTATTTATATAAAAATGAAAAGGGTAGGGGAACAAGATTTTGCATATATTACCTGTCTAGAAAACAACAACATGGTTCTGTTTTAATATTTCTATATCGCTCTACAATATTAATGTATTGAGCACTAATTTAACTGTGAATTTTTGAGTTGTTATTATATTACCCGTCTATACAACTCAAAGTAGTAAAGGGTGAATGCCAATGATATAAATATTAATATGCACTCTCCAAGGGAGTGCTGGTCGACAAACCAAAGCGGTGAGAGGGGTCAGGTATTTAAGAAGGGTAACCTCAAAAGTCAGAAGACCTTATATTTAGAGGATGAAAATTCTTTGCAAAACTCCCTAAGAATTTTAAGAGGAATGCTGGGTTGAAAAATACAGTAGAGACATCAGATTGTCCAAAAGTTTGGTCCACAATGTTGATATCTTATGAGTATGAAGTTTCAGTAAAAAAAAAACGTATAAGAAAAAATCACTAAATATATGGCTTATATGTTGAACGATAAAATCTTCTCTGAGATACTCGTGGCAGTTTTCATACTGTCTATTTCTATGTAAATTGAGTAAAAATAAAATTCTTTAACCAGAAGTAGCTACTAAAGTCCATGGATTCATTGGTAATGATACAGAGCTGTCGGTTGGCCTGTCGTATCAATATAAATAAACCAAGTACTAACGATACGAATCGCAAAACGAACACGAAATCCTTACCAATACATGAACAATAAATTGGTAGCAGCTAATGAACTTTACATATAAGTTAGTATAAGTTAGTATAACGCACAGTAAATATTCCTACAGTTCATTATATAGCTGTGATTAACTCACATAATTGCATTACATCTGTCGTTAATTGAAAGTGATTTTAGAAATTGAAGCATAGTTATCTCCCTTGATCTAAAGACGATAATACTGACCTATATATTATCAAAACATTGTCAATTCTTATTAAATTACTCTTTTGAAGTTAGGTCTGCATTTCTGATCTCCATGAAGAAATTTAAAAGTTTTACAAGACAACTGTGATATTTCACCCGATTATCTCCCTTGAAGTGTGTTTGACCTATATTTTGTATTTTCACGAATTCTAGATATTTCTAACATAGTTATCTCCCTTGATCTAACCAAGATAATTCTGACCTATATCTATTCAAAATATTGTCAATTCTTAAAAAATTACTTTTTTTTTAAAGTGTATTCTGAAATTTTGACATCCATCAAGAATATTTAAAAATTTTAACAAAATAATTCATTTGATTCTATATTTGTTTTCTAATAATATGTAATATTTTACACGATTATCTCCCTTGAAGTGTGTTTAACCGAAATTTTGATTTGGTAGTGTAGTTGTATAATACAGGCATCTCAGTGCAGAATTAAAATATAGAGAAAATCAGCTTGGGTCAAAGGCTTAAAACTCAATGAAGTATAATCGTGGGACGATCTGAGCTGATGTGGGTACTGTTTATAATATTACTGTCGGGCAGTTTTGGGTAAATTACACTGTTTACTTTTCAAAACGATCTTATCTATTTATTTAGAAATATTATGGAGTATCTTCCATTCTAAAGCCATATCGTATGTTACAATCATCAGGAAACCTAAAAATTTATTTGAAAGGAAGGGGGTATAAAGTGGACAGTTTCAATAAAAATGTCGGTGCAAAATGCGAAGAACAATGTGACTCAATATTACAACAAAATCACAGCTTAAATACAATTTGATAGCAAATTAATTTTGTTATACATTATAATAAGAGCTAGGAACTGCTGGTAAAATGGCACTCGTTGTTACTTCTATTTTGTCTATATGAATAGAGGCCTTCTCCTGGGGAAACTGAAATCAGATTTAACAAGTCGTTGTCCGGTCAGCAAAATTATGGCCAGACTTTAAACTTCAAAGTGTCCGAAAATGTAAAATAACCTCTGGATCTTTGCCATAAACAAAGGTTGATATAACCTTCATATTTGGGTTAAAAAGAAAAGAAAAGAAAAGAAAAGATTAGTTACCAGTATGAGATCTATGGTGTATTTTCAAATTCTCCAGTCGTGAAAAACTTTTATTACAAACAGAACAGCGGTGGGGTTTTTCATTTGTATGTGTTCTAATATGAATCAACATTTTGTATCTAAAACAAAACAGAAATATGCTTGAAATTTATAGACATGATAAAGAGGATATTTTTTTAATTATTTGCCAAAACAATGATTCAAAAGATTTATAATTCAAATTCCATCTTAAACCTTGACTGCATTTGCCACTGTTCTTGTATCATGGAATGCAGCAGTCAATTGATTGGATGGTACTTCAACCAATTAGAGCCCTTAACAGAAAGATGGCAAACTTATGGCTAATTGTTAACAGAGTTTCTTTTGAGGCCTCTTAATGGTTGTATTTGTTAGGATACGATCCAATCAACTTGCAGCATCTGCAAATTTCTGTGACATATGAAAGGTGACTATTGCAGTCAGGGTTTTAGGCGAAGTTGGTTATAAGCTTGATATTGTGAATAATATGCATAAGCAGAAATAATACCTTGCATTGAATCCTCTTCCTTGTCTTGAACATCCAGTCCATTTACATTGAAACTCAACATCAGGTCTTTCAACTTTAACATGCTGATCATTGACATGGTTGACCAGATCATCCAGTCCAAGGAATTTTTCATTGCATTGTAACCAGCGGCAAGTAAAAAATTCTTCTCCGTTTTGAATTGCCTGAAAATTGTGGAAGAAGGACTTTAAAACCACACCCTTGTTGTTAAGGACTTTAAGAAGCCACACCCTTGTTGTCAAGGACTTTCAGAAACCACACCCTTGTTGTGAAGGACATTTAGAGCTAGACCCATGTTTCAGGACTTTCTCAAACAATAAGGACCAAATCATTATTAATGATCATTTGCGAAAGCCTAGTTCAAGTTTTAATTCTGTTCAAAGTTTGCCCACCTTAAGATTGGAACCTTGTCTCAATGCATCAGGACAAGCTGACGTTGTCGGTATCTGTCCCTGCCTGATAACACTTGGTTCAACTTTCACTTGAGGTATTGGTGAGGTCACGAGACCGGGGCGTAGAGTATTCTGGGACAATATCAAACTAGGTTGAGTACAAGACGTACAGTACACGGGAAGTGATGATGTCATACAATTGTGTGCACAGACTGGATATAGGTACGTCTCTGAACCCTGGGGAAATACTGAAATTTAAAAAGGAGATCCGATATTATAATCAGCTTCTAAAATACATTTCTCTGAAACTTGACAAAATACTGGATATATGTCAGAAACATTTCTGTTATAATTGCTACATATTATGTTTTTATTTTTTCTTACAAAGAGAACCATGACCTGCCCCCCACCCCCCCCCCCCCCCCTTTATTTTTACTTTCAAAGGGATATGGGTTGGGAAATGGTAAAATTCATAAATGCCAATCATCTGAAAGGGTAGGGTTGGGTGCATGACCCAACTTCCCACCCCTAGATACACAACTATTTCATTTATCAGTTCAATAAAAGTTTAAAAAGTTTTTAATGCGGTACCTGACGAGAAATGTTTGACATCAGCAATAGTAACCATATCTTTATTTAGAGAAAGGTTGTAAGAGTTACTGTCCTTGAATATTTCATCACAATTAGACATCCTACCCATCAATCTGTAAAGTGAAATCGTTTTTAAAATGTTCAGGTACATTTACTCAAAATTATTCTTCAAAAGAATTAAAGCCACTCTATAAAATCAAAGTTAACATACCGTAACATAAAACTATTTGGATAACAAATCCATTTATCCTAATAACACTCGCAAGATTTTCAAGCCTGTGCCAGTAATTTGCTGCATTTATATCATATTTTAAAGAACTAGATCAATTTCTATTTCTTTTAGTTTAACAAACTTCAGTCCGGTGTTTTACAGTCATTACGAAGCTTATAAATAGGTGCAGGGGTCGATGTTCCATTTCTCTGTGTAAAAATAGACCCCAACAGGGTGTGGTGAAGTTTTTCAAAAAATCATCGAATAATCAATCTATTTACTAAATATTACAACATGCTTACACCTCATATTACCCTAGCATGTCTAAACCCTAGTCGGGCAATAACTTCCATGCTTCATTGGCCGCGAAGAGATTAACAGACCAATCGAACGCCATAAAATCATGGATATTCTTTTAAATTTGAATAGATCGTAAATTAGATTTTATCTAAAGTCATTATTATGTACTAGAAGGTCAAAAATGTGAATAAAAATAATTCCCAAAGGGGGGTAATCATGCCTCAAAATCTTGTTGATCTTTTGTTCATTTGTGTACAATCACAGATTTATAATCACGGAGATTTGTAACTTAAATCCACTCGAACGTCAGGCATTAATTAACGGATTAGTTCAACTTAGTGGTCTACGTAAATTATTATACCTTTTTAATATGTTAATATGATAACGTCTGCTGTTTTTTTTTTATTATTATAATAATCTGTAAAATATTACAATAACCCTAGAGTACTAATAATGCGACCAACTATCTTACCATTTGATATTTCGGAACAATGGTACGACTTCACTGGCGTTTAAACCTATGCTTAATTTAGTATTTGTAACATTGCTACCTGTTCTTCTAAATGATTAATCTTCAAAACATTGATAAAATCCAGAAATCACACAAAAAAAACATGTTGGTTTTACAATCTCCTGATATTCATATAAAAAAACTTGAAAAATTAACAGAAAAAACGTCTTTTGTTTTCCCTGTAAAGTCTGACCTACTACTAGCTCTGCTGGGGGTCTACTAGCTCTGCTGGGGATCTGTAATCCTCTTTATCAAGTGAAAGTCTGTTAAAGCTGTAAGATAATCTCAGTAGGGGGCCAAGCATGTAAACAAACAATATAAGAAGGATATCAGATAATCTCAATACAGCAATAATGAACTTTATATTAGTGAGAAATCATGTTAAATTTAAAGTCATATGAGACAAATCCCTGTATGTGTAAAAATATCTAAAGATTTTAATAACAACAAAATAATCTCCAAATTCATTTTACTTTTGTTTGAAATCTTAAAAAAATATTTTCTTAATTAATCCCAACTTTCGTGATACATTTCCTCAGTCATGGCATGGGCCACATTAAAAGTATTTTATTTTACAGTACCAAAATCATTTTCAGTAAAATCTTTAAGTTAGAAACTTTCTTATCTGAAGTGTTGCCTTTAAAACCTCAAAAACCTTAAAAATGGAAATTAGCAAAAGAACAAAAGAAGTTTATCTAAGCCACTTCTAAAAGATTAAACAGTTCGTAAACAGGAATAGAGTTTCTCGGTGATAATGGAACTTGGATGAAATAATGAACAGTTGTCTCCCTTCGACCACAAACCACAACTCAACTTTAACTATTCACTATGATAGTAGCAACAATAATCTAAAAATAGACACAGATCTCCAGCAGTGCAGCCTTTGAAATTTTCTATGGTTATTCACGAATAAAGTATAATTCTCACCTTTATGTCGGTTTGGAAATTGAGTCTGTGAACACTTCTTAATTGCAGCGAATCGCAGCATGAAAATCGTCAACATGTGCCATGTTCAGGGAAGCCATCAAGAATTCTTACAATGCGCATGTGCAGACCCCCAACATGCCAAACAAAACGTCATAGAAATAGACATCATTATCCAGACGTTTTTATCTGCGGTTTTTCTTACTGGACAAACACGATTAATGTCAGAATGAACGAGGGAAATGTCACGCGATAGTAAATTAAACCTGTTGTATTGAGTACGTTTGAGATATCAGCCCCAACTCAATGGAGATTTGGGGAAACATTAGTTGTGGGTGCCGAGCAGCGGCCTTAAAATTTTCAAGGGGGTAAGGGGGCAAAGCCAAAACCAACCCCCTTCTTATCCCCTCGTGGAAACGCAACATCATAATAGGAACAGGAAGCATTAGGTGAGGGGAGAGCAAGGTCTATTAAATATTCAAAGGGGAGGAGGCCATGGCCACTTATAAACATAAGGAAAAATATCCTAAATTTTACATAGGAGCAGACAGTAGGGGTACACATTAATAACGGCGGTTTTAAGTAAAATATTAAAGGGTTAGAGCCTAGTTTAGCAAAGTTATAGGCTACAAGGTTTGAAGATTTTCATTAACGGAAATCATAAAATAAAAAAGGAAGAGGAGGAGCAAAATGTAAAATAAATTGCATCCAAATATACTGCCAGACTTTAATACTTTTTATTATTACTAGTTTATGATGTCACGCGTTGTTAATATTTTTGCAAGTTGTCAAAATAAAATGCACACCTGCGACATAAAATACTTTAGTTTTACAATGATTGATTTATACCTGATTTTAGTGTTATTTACTCGGCAACACCTAAAATATACGCCATTCATAGATATTGGACAAATATTAGAAAAGTAAGGAGCTAGGCCTAAATGACAATGGAATGGAAACTATAAAAAAAAATATTTTGCCCAATTAGCTAAGGCATTTATGCTGATATTCGTCATAGATATATGAGTCTAAGAAAATAGGCTGAATAGTCTGAAGATTGCACAGTGTTAAGGGGAAATGAGAATACAATTCAAAGAAAGCACAGGCCACGGTCCGAAGCAAGGACGTCCTCTTTCATTTCAAAGAATGTAACATGTTTCAGGTTCTGTTTAATATTGTTATATGAATTTATTCTATAGTGAAGTTAATTTCTTCCATGATAATAATTTGATAATTACCTGGTTTATTTTAAGAGTAGGTTATGAGGTAGGTGAGGAGAGTTTATGTGGGACAGGGCTGGTTTATTTTTAAGAGTGGGTCAGTAGGGAAGGGGATGGTCAATTTATGTGGGACACCGTACCTCAAGTGTACTATACACCTTGCTAATGAATGACTGCAACTTGGCCCACTAGTAGCCGAACTTTTACTTCTGTGTCCTCAAGTCATAAAAGGAGAGAATTTTAAGGTCGCTGAAACTCGTTTGACACACTACACGACAACAATGTAGGAAATTTCCATCGTAAAATGAATTCATTCTCGTCCATTTTTATCAATGTCATTGCATAATTTTGATTGGATACTTTGACTCGGCGCATCGAGCACGCGGTGATTAGACTTTGTTGACATTCTGTCAGCCAATCATATCTCAGTATTTAGTCACGTGAGCCATCATCTTATTTTAGATTTTCTATATATGGTCATATCATACACTGTCTGCATTCCAGACATACTATTTTACTATGGAGAATTTGACACAAAATTTTATAATTAGCTCAAAACTGCACAAATTCTCCAAAATTCCTCAAAATTTCTTTATTTTTTTTTTATTAAATTATACTTTATTTTTCATTTGGGAGAGTTTTTGAAACAAATTTTGCAAAATTGAAAGAAATATTGGAGAATTCGTTTCTTGTTGTGATGAAATTCTCCCAACTATGAGGTTAGCAACCGTAAAGCAGCTGTTGATTTGTTTATCTTGACTTTTCCCGCGCCTTGCCAACACCAACTCACTACTTTAAACTTTCTAAATACGCGACATCGTCATAGTTTTACATGTTTCATAAAATTTCTAATAGAAAACTTGTTAAAACAACAGAAATTTGGGATAATTGTGAAATTTGATACATTTTGTAGATTTTAAAATTAATTTTCTAGAAATTTCTCAAAGATTTGAGTAAAAAGACTGGTCGACCCTGAGCTATAGTTTTCTATGTGAATTGACTAACAGCTGTTTGGCGCCAATAATTACTCACTGTAGCAGCCTTACATCGACATAGTTGTAGATCATTTCAACATTTACAACTCGATTTTAGTCCATTTCCCGGCTATTTTAAAACTGTTTTTGGACTATTTTCAACAATTGGATTATCGTACGGAATTAATTCTGTGATTTTAAGTGAAAAGAATGGAAGCCTATCGTCCTGTGAGCGATGGATTAGCAGCTGTTTACACACGGTTAGTAGTAAACTTGTACGCATGACTTTACGGGTATAAACAATATCGTAAAGACGCGTGGTCTTTTCATGTTTTGACAATTTTGAATCAAATTCTATTTTTTTCCTTTTGAATGTTTTAGAATCGATTTAGGCATTAATTTTCGATTCTGATCATACAAAGTTTTCGATATTTTGAAGATTTTTGAGTGATTTTGAAGCAAGTTTTTGAATGTATATTTGGTGAGAAATTTGGCCCATTCAGCTTTGTTGTAGAAAGTTTAAGATGTCGGTCGGTGACTGACTGAACGATTCACTGTCGTCTACTCAACTTATTGAAAGTTATTTATTAATTTCTATTTTCTTGATTACTTTTAGACATGCAAAGAAAAAAAAAACAACTTTGGTATTTTAGATTTGACAGGCTTTGGCTAGGGCAGACTCGATTGAATATATTTTGAACTTATTTTTGCCATTGATTGGAGAAAACTTGAAATATGTTGTGTTTGAACTCAGATTTGTTAGAAATTTAGAAATTATTTAAAATTTCATTTTCGAAAAATGAAAGTGTTTTAATTTTTGCTTAAATTTTTGATTACGTTTCAAATTTCAAGCTATTCGTCAAAAGTGAAGATTTTCAAAATATTGCCAAAAATCAGAAATATTTAGAATGTTGATATGGGCCTAGTAGATCTTGTTTAAAAATGGAAATTAAATTCGAATTTGCAGGGAGACATTTCTTGATCGGTAAAAAAACAGAAAACAGCTGTCTGTCATGATCAGCTGATGAAATAGATCTTCTGGTGTCCTGACCAGGTCAGCTGATGAAAACATTTTAGAAAATAAAATTTCAGATTGACGTTAGATCTAAAACTTAAAACAGAATCGATATTTTGACAAAATTATGGGGTTTTCATTACAAAGTTAATTTACACGTATGAGAAGTGGTAAAATAATGGACGAACGATAGACACTGGCTGGGCCAAATCAGTCACAAGATTTTCTTGGCTCGCAGCCAAAATACAAGCAGTCATATCATAATGACTCGAGTTCTATTTTAATTCCCTTCAGACTAACTCATACCAGTTTTTATAAACATTATCATATTCTAGAACATGCTTTTAATATTGGCAAGGTAGTGAAAAATATTGGAATTTAGCCCAATTAAACGTTTTATTGATGAAAACGCTGGAAATTACTTGCTGGCAATACGCCAAGAATGTCTTTAAGGCGGGCGACGTCTTGGCAAGCTGCCAAGCGACATTTTCTGTCTGGATTTGTAAGAAAATTGTATTCAATGTCGAACTATCGATTAAGACAAACCCATAAAATCTTTAATATTCATTCATTTTAAACACAAATTTATTTATAGGCCATTTTTTTTTTCAAAAGTTGTAGATATTTTGATTTTTTGTTTTCTTTTGGTCTGTAAATAAACGCCATCAAAATATCACCTCAAATATTTCTTGTATTCATACGCCACTACTTTTATTCATTGAAGTTTTTCCAAGAAATTCACCAAATCAACAGAAATATTTTTTTGTCTTTTTCTTAGAACTAAGATCTCATTTCTAAAGATGTAAATAATTTTCTGATTAAATCAAAGCACAATTGAAAAATAATGAAATATTAGCTCGATGTAAAATAAATCCCCCCCCCCCCCCTCCCAGATAAAAATGAATTTACAGTTAATAAAACTCAGACCATGGACAGCAAATTTCCTCATGTTAAAATTTCCAAACCAATTTAATTTTCAAATTTGATAATATTTCAGGAATCGTCCACAAGATCCGGACAAAAAGCTGCGTCGTGAAATAGCAAACAACAATGAAAGACGACGAATGCAAAGCATCAATGCAGGATATGAAAACTTGAAAAATTTGATTCCCCATCACGATGGCGAAAAACTCAGCAAGGTAAATATACCACTGTTTTAAGATTTTGAAATTTAAACCCAAAATTTGAAGACAGAGAAAAGACCCATATTAGTGTATCATAAATTGATATATTTTAGAATAATTGAAAAATTAAAACTTTTGAGTTGGAAGACTAAATTTGAAATTCAAAATTTCATGTTTTGGGTTAACCAAATATTTCGATTTGTTTTTTATATTAATTGGGTCACTGTGAGTTATAACCGGAACTATTTTTGGTATATGACGCTATAACCGTTCACCAGACATTGAATATTGATTACCAATAGCAACTGACCAGTACTGTTTACAACATACTCAGGCCAGACTTGAGTAAACACGATCCGCTGGTCAGCGAGAGCTATTTTTATAACTGTGTAGGTCACTAAGTATGGCCGAATTGGTCAGGTCGAGCCAAAATAAATATTGACTTAGTGAGTCGATAACACTTTACATGGCCTAATTATACTTTGAACGATTATTTTACTGTCATATTTCTATCATTACTTTATAATAAACAATAAATAACTTGAATGCACTACTTCGATTGAAATATGCCATCGTGGATATAAAATATTATGTATCAAATGAAATATAATCCATCGTGGATATTAAATATTATGTATCAAATGAAATATAATCCATCGTGGATATAAAATATAATGTATCAAATGAAATATAATCCATCGTTTATATAAGATAAATTGTGGCATAAAATGCTCTATAATGCAATGAAATATGCTATCTAAAATACTCTTAGCTTATAACTATTAAATGATATATTAAATATATCGAGGCACTCAATTCAAAAAATATGCTAGCTGTAACCATATTTTCTCGGACTTGCAGGTCTAAAATGGAAAGATGATATTTTTAGAGTCGTATAAGCTCAGTGCCTTCCTAATTGAATTTTCTGAGCTCAATCAAGATAAGACGTGATCAAGACAAGAAAGTAATTTATTCAAATTAAATTTAATTTTCAATCTAATATTTCCCACAATGCCTCCTACGATTTCTAACTACTTCCTCTAAATATTCAGCTGTAAAAACATACAGAACTATGATTTATCACAATTCATTATTCCTTTATCAAAACTACACACATTCGTTACAAATAATGGTATATTTAAAAATGACGAGGTATTTCGAATAAAACCATTCAAATATAAAATCTGGTCTATTTCTCAAATTTTTTTTTTAAATTTGACGTAGGACATAATTTGTTGGTTAAGATCTTGGCAATGTCAAACTATTACGAACTTCGTCTTATACCTTGACTTCAATACTTACCCTTCTTCTATCACGGAATGTGGCGATTTGATCGGATTGTACGCTAGCGAATACAACCAATCAGAGCCCTTCACACGAAGAATTAAAACATTTAGGCATATTGTTTACGGATTTCTTTACGGCCTCTGATTGATTCCTTTACGCATAATCGAAGCAAATGGTAATTGCAGTCAAGGTATAAGACGAAGTTTGTAGTAACTATACATAGTGAAGATACAGAATATGTCCGTCCCTATTATGTTCTATGTGTAGTTGATTATCAAATGGCGTGATGCTCCGTCACGAAGACGAAACCTGCAATTTGCTTCCGTTTTTATTTCAATGACCTTATAAGGAAACAAGTTCTGCACACACCAGATCATCACGAATGAGGAATTTTTTGGAGGAAGAATTCGATTTCAGGAACCGATGAAATCATTCCAAATTTGAGTATCGCTCGAGTGTTTCCTCTGTTGAACATGATTTTATTCGTTAGGACTTTTTTTCTTCTAGCAAGTAAAAAAGTTCTATTTAACAAAAATCCTGTTTGCATTGGTAATTTTGAGATTACGTGAACCTCGCCCCATCTTTATTACTTCCCTAAGAAAATGAAATAGATATTTCGAAACCCATCTTCACAATGTCAAGCTGTTACGAACTACATCTTCACAATGTCAAGCTATTACGAACTGCGTCTTATCTAGAGCTCTGATTGGCTGTATTCGGAAGGGTACAATCCAACCAAATCGCTGCATTTACAAACGTGAAACAAGAAAGGTGGATATTGCAGTCAAGGTATTAGAGGCAGTTCCTAAAAGCTTGACACGGTGAAACGATGACTTCAACGAGTACGATTTTGCCCGACATATTGAGATTAAAACACGATTGTCAAAGTGTAATTTTACAGAACTAAACTGCTAGGTTAACCAATTGTATCATAACGGAACAAGGAAACATTACATCATTAACAAGACTTGATAAACTTCCCTGAACTAGGTCAATAAGCTTTTTTACAGTTTTCAAATATTGTCAAGGTTGTGACCAAGGCGAGGAAAGACATGTTTCGCTTTTATGCAACACTCGAAAGCATTCTGCGTTAAGCGTTTGCTGTCGACAAGGCTTTCTGGGGGCTTATATGGCTAATAATGTGCATTATGGGAAATCTTTTTCGTGTATAGCTACTCCTTCGAAACATTTGCTGTCGTCCAGTTTGTCGCCTTGACATCCCTTTTAGAGAGTTCACATAGCTATTAACTATCAAATTTAAATTAATTATTCTCTAGAAGAGACGACAACAGTGACTGTTCTTATAAGTCCGAATGCCATATGCGTCGAAAACGGTTGTTTTATTGCAAAGAGACTTGACCACGTCCCGTAATCGGTGGACAGTCCGCTAGAAATGTAGTCATCACTATCCGCCCCCAAGGTCGACTAAATTGTTTACATTGTTCACGGATATATAAATTGAAAAGAACGTCTAGACGAGTTTTAAAAAAAACTTTTAATATTATGTGACATTTTGTACAATAATAGTTTTAATATCAAAATACCTAGGATCAACAATATATTTTATATTGTGTCGTTTTATTATTGTTTCAATTTCCCTTATAAAATATAAAATTTTCCATTTAAAATCCAATGGGGCGTTTGGTTAAGAATTAGGCATAAAATAAACACTGTTAGGTCCACTATTAAAATTCATTCAGTTTTTATTCGTACTGGTATGAAATATCCAGTAGACTGCTAATTAATTATTTAATAATCAGAATTAGAATATTACAATTATACAGCATCGAGCTTGTCATCAACATATCAGCTGATCACATCAGCTGTTCTTCCCGTTTCATTCATGATCAGGTGGTGACGACGTCACTAAATGTCAAAGGTCAGAGTATACGAGGTTGTGAATATCAGGCAATGATATTACAAGGGCCGTTATCGTTTAAATAATATGAATAATCGTATTTCACCATAAGGTCATAACAGTTAGAAATGTTCTCGTTTGTCATTTTATGTGTCGAATCCGCATGATTTAAATTCAGTGCGATGTAGGTCTGTTGTTATTAGGGCTAGTATCACCCATTAAGATGAAATAATTAATGACTTCCCTGTATCGACCGGGTATAATAAATTATAATGTATTTCCGTCATTATTAGAATGGTCTTATTACAATGAAAATGTTGTACTATTGTGTGGTTTCATCACAAAAACAGGGAAGACCAATTCATCGAGTTCAATATTCCAGTCGACCTGCGTAAATTGAGTATAAAACTATAGATAACTCATGAAAGGACTGACTCAAAGACACACACCATTCTCGGGAACGTATTTTAGGACTTTATCCTTGTGAAAACTGGATTCAATGGGTCGCATGGCGGGGATCGTGAAAGTAGGCATAACTATCGGCAAAATAGAGTTATTCTGATGCTTTCGATCCTAGTGTCGGCCAGTTAGTTGCTTGTCAACCGGTTCTGCTTGATATCCATCAAAGCTGTTCTTGTCATAATGAAGGGTTCTATTTTTTTTTTAACACCCACACCGTGTTCGTGGGAGAATAACGAATGGTTCAATTATTAGCCACAGATTTCAATGAACCAGAAGGTCGTTGACACAGGAAACCACCGACAGGCTATAAATCATTTTTCATCTAATATTATATTGGTGTTTGGAGGCTAAAACATAGTTATCATTCCATCCTAGGGCTAATAATTCTGACGTCTGTAATAGATCTTATTTAAAATAAATAAAGTAGAAAGAGTCGCTGTTCAATTTGTCAGAAATCAAATTTTATTCCTTGTGAACTTCAGGTGATATTCAACCGATTTGTTGTCGGTACGCAGAGGGCATTTTTCATTGGAAATGTGACGTCACTAACCCTGGCATAACGTTTTTTAGGCCTACATATTGTTAGATTTATTCGAAAAACGGTAGGGTAAAGAAATTCCTAAAGAAACGATCGAAACAAGCCGATAAGTATTAATGTAAACAAATGCCAACTCTGCACACCTTAAGGTTTTTGATAGTAACGCATTGGTGCAGATCACTTGACTTGAAAGATATTATTCGGTTTTAAACGCACACCAACGTTTTAATAAACATAATATATTTTAATATATACTTTACACTAGCTGTACAACAAGAGTTGGCTATAAGCTTAGTGATAGTATCGTGATAGTATCTGACTGTAAATTCTATGGAAATGTGTCCCGATATACATGGGTGATTTAGAAAACACAGTAGAAACAATTTTTATATTTGAAAAGCTTAAGAGGCCATTGTTGAAAATATCCAGGCAATAAAAGGTAGAATGAATAAAACGGTACGAAACAACCGCCATTCATGACCAAATTCTTAACATACCTCGTTACTTATTCATCGTTTTCATATACAGGACTGCGGGAGATCAACCACCACAGATTTTTATACGTGGGAACGAAATTCGTGATCGCCGTCTTCACTCAACCAGAACAATAAGCCCTGAGGCCCTTGTTACACTATATCGTAGTATGAGAAGTTGTTAGTTTCACATGACCAAAGGAAGGGAGATTCCCATATATACCTATACCTAAACAATATTATTAATTTTCTGGGAGAATGCAAATTGACATTAGAACGGGCAATATGCCCCTTATGTAATGTAAATAGGTTTTGAGATTAACCAAAGCAAAGACGTCAAAAAGACGCTCCTACAAAATTTGTACAAGTAATGAGTGCGCCCTTAACGTATACCTGAATATCAATTGAATTTTGAGAAAGACGAAAAGTGACTTTAGAACGACATTTTGTCTCTTGTAATGAGTTTTGAAATAAGACTATCCAAATCATGAGATGGTCTTACAAAATTTGTTCAAGTAATGTAAGCTCACTTGACGTATACATGAAGATTGGCGTTTCATATAATCATAGGCCCGTTTAAACTGGAATTAAATTGCCTAATAATATTGTTAACTAAACTATATACAATTTGATATCGGCCCAGTGTAACTAATATTCATGATATACTAAATCGTTAAACGCCAGCTCATGACTCCCACGACTAGAATGTATGTTAAAACTTGAATAGATATCGCTATAACCCCCAAGTTATGTGTACCAAGCTACCTTGTAGGTCTAGTCAACTCTCTCGCTAGTTTATTGGCCGACTCTTGTCTACTGCCAATATAGGTCGTACACGGATTCTGTTACTAAAAATACACGTCTGTGGTAGACTTCTGCTGTCTTATTATGGCGCGAAGAACTTGTGGTTTTTACATCATCGTTGGTTTTTATTTAAATAAAACCAAACGAGACTTCCAGTTCTATTCTCTTCTCTATTCATGAAACTTTAAATGTTAAATAATTATCTATCTATTACCCTCAAAAGTATTTTTGCCCAAGCCCAATAAGACCATATTTAATAGACACAATCCTTTGAATTGTAGAATATCTTAGATGACTTCATAATTTAACATATGACGATAGTACTATTGCCTTATATCTCATTAAGAATCATGTAGTAGAGATTACTTGTGATAAGAGCTACGGGAAAATTACTCTTTTACTGACGGTACATTAAAGAAGGATATGGCCTGGACCAAGCTGAGACTTCGTGTTATGTTGAGCTTCGTTTTTACCGTCGTCGACTTCTACTTTTCACTGTATTCTCAGGGAACCGTTAATGGTTATTTTCTGTTGATATAAAAAAGTTCCCGATAGTACAAGAAACTTCTAAAAGACTCTATTCCAATCAATCACTTATTGATTCTACCTTGTACTAGTATTCACGATGTTTTAACGATTTGTCTTCTTCAGTCTGCCATTTTACAACATACTTCCGAGCATATTATGAGTTTGGAGGAAGAGAAAGCTAAATTGATTGCCCAGAATGAAGAATTGATAGCAGCCAACGCTACCCTGAAACGTCTGCTGATAGAACGAGACCGTTATCCAAAGCAGCTCGAATTCACCAACTCTCCGCCCCCGAAACGGAAAAAACGAGACACAGGTATGCGTAAAAACTTTTCTCTGTTTATTGCATTATTTCAAGTTCAATTGATTTTTAATGTAAACTGGCTAGGCTTATTTCATACCTAAATAAAACGTTAAAGGAAAATGACTTCACCTTTCTCAAAATGTTTGATACCTTATAAATAAAAATTAAACAGTAGAATAGTAACGATCCTATAAGGAAGTATATCAATCATAAGTAACGTAAGTATTTCATAATGAAAAGTGGTATCAGCTACTTGTACAAGATGATGAGCATAATCATGTCGGTCATTCACAGCAGAATTTTATCCTGAAATTTCTGTTTTTAGAATCGAGTGATGAAGGAATCAGCATGGGCAGTTCTCCGGACAGTAACGAAGACAGCATTGAGGATATGAAAAGCGTGTTGATGGAGCTGCGAGGACAATTGGACAGTGAACGATGGTGTCGAGCTGTTCTTGAGAAACGAGTCCAGTCCATGGAAGCTCAGATGTATCCTGAAAAATTATCGGATGTCAGCAATGCTTGCGTCCAGACCGATATTAATAAAATGGTAAGAAGTTTTATATGATCAGATTACATGGGAATCCCTGTCATTAACCAACCAGGAACCCAATCTTAGATGTTTTCAAATCAAATCCTGGAGCCTTATTTTCGAAAACTTAACAGATATAAAATCAGGATTTTAAGAAATGCAGCAATCTGATTGGATAATAATACTAGATTTGAAATCAATATTACTAATTGACCAATCAGATAACTGGAAGTAAAAATCATCAGTTAAGTTTTGAAGAATAAGGATCCTGATTGATAAAGGTCGATATTCTAGTTATTAACAAATGGTTTTAAATGACAATGTTTTCAACTTTCAAATCAAACTGAACACTAGAATGTCACCATGGCCTGTGGTTTATTCCACCATATGTCGCTTCCAATGATTTATTTTAGACAAACTATGTATCTTATTATTCGCATTGTGAACCGATAATATGGATTGAAAATATGCACCCCAAATTTGGAGGTAGAGGTAGTATCCTATTAAAGTTTACTCAGAACTTTTGCTCAATGAATTTTTTTTTATTTACAGACAAATGAATTCGTGGAAGTGAAAACTTTTGACGAGCCGATCAAGGACGTTTATTCTCAATACAACCCGGTTCTGACGTCAAAAAATAACCTGGGATTACTTCTTGACGCGGCAGCTTGTATGGAATACGACCCAATGGGTACCGAGACGAACATTTATGAGGAAAGAGTACCCAATGGGATTATTCACCCGCGACGAATAACTCATTCTCATCCGAGTACGGAAAGTGAAAAGGACTGTAGTGACCAAGATAACAAGTCTGATAACTCAGACCAAGAAGTTCCAACTTATACACATCGCATTTTCCGTCATCGGTTACAGAAAAAACATTTTGGAAATAACGGGCAAAATACTAACTTTGATCAATATTCCAAAAACCTTCTTCAAACACACCCTAATCATTATTACCCCAACCCTAGTGTTATCGTTCATACATCCTCTTGAAATTTAGTCAAATCATTCATTTTTCTCTCATTCATTTGTATATATATCATTCATTCATTCATCCTTTGTCATCGTATCAAAAAGTGCTAAATTCATTCATTCATTCACTCGTTTTTTCTTTATATTTTCGTTTTTTTGTTTTTTTTTTTCATTCATGATTTTGATTTGTTCATAGTTTATTCCTGATTGGTTGAAAGTCATATCATGTGACCAATAAATTCATTTAATTCTTTTATTTTTCTTGGGATTTTCATCGTGGAAAATTTCAAACAAGTTCTTCATTTAGAATCAAGAAAATAATTTTTGTTTTTTGGCAATTTTATAGATATTTAGTTTTTTAGTAAATTTTCCGACTAAATTTGACTGAAATTTGAAGAAAGAAATCTTCGTAATTTTGTGTATTCATTGAAAACATTCCTTTAAAAATAACATCCATATAATATAACACCAAATACCAAAGATGCCGTTAACTTATTATAACTTGGAATAAAAGGTATTGTTCGTCTTAAAGAGATTGTAAAGAGGTTTTCTAAATTATTTATGTGTATCGTGGACACTGATATCATCAATTTACACAATTCCATTTTTCAATGAGATGTCTTTGGTTCCTGCAATTCCTCTAAAACTAACTGTTTGATGATGTCACTGATCGCAAAATAGGCCTATGCTTCATGATTACATGTAATAAAACGGTTAGTTTTAGGGGAATTGCAAGAACCACAGACGTCTGATTGAACATTAAAATGGTGCAAATTGATGTTAGTGTCCCCGATACACGTAACAAATTTAGAAAACCCCTTTACAATCTCTTTAATTTGTGGGAAGAATCCCTTTAATGATGTTGAATGAGAGAACTTGTATTATTGTGTCTAACATGATATTTATGTCGTTCGTCATTTGTCTTATTGTACTGGCTTTTCTTCTAGACACCCAATGCACTCTGCAATTGGGAATTCAGCTTTTTTGCTTGATAAAGATAGATTAAAAACTCGAATTCAGCTAGTTATCCATCACGATTTTTGTGGAAGTTTTTAGGTTGTTTTCTGTAGAAAATATATTTTGATGAAAAATTCCTAGAACAATAAATTTCTGAAAGTAAAAATATTACAACTAATAGAATATTCATATATGACAATTTTTTCAAACGAATCAAAAAATTTGAATGAATTCACAAATCACGCTTTGTAAAATGTTGTTAAAACTGTACATTGTTTTGGTGTGTTGCAATTCATCTAAGTGACGTCACCAAATTCATTATGGCTTTGTTTTTGTTGAAGTTTTCATTTGCAGCTAAAATTGTATATAGAATTTTGTATATAGAACGAGAATGGAAGAGTATTGATTGGTTGAAATTTTATGACGTCACTTCCTTTGGATACGGCGGAAGTGATGTCATAAGATGTTTAGCATAATGATATACCAGTTTCCTATTGATTGATTGCAATTGGACTTTTTGGGGCATTATTTTTGAAAATTCGAATTTTGAAACTGGTGTTGGTGTTGAACGTGATGTTAAATTTTAAACTTTTATAAAATTTTGAAAAAATTACATTTTTGGAAATCAGAATCTACTAAATTTATCATCACCTCTTACAGTTGTATATACACGAATGCTATGCCGGGGATATGTTTTGTTTGTTTACAGTTTGTTTGTTTTTGTTGAAAATTGTCTATAAATATCACGTGTACAAATTCAAAGAAAAAGCCAGGGTGAGTCTCTTTAAACTGAAAAGATCCTGCTTATTGATTGGTTAAACGAAAATTTCAAAATTCAAAGAAAAAATCGAAAAAGACCACTTTAATTTATAACTATTTCGAAATTGAACAGAAAAGTTTAATAACTATTGAATGAATTTAGAATTTTAAAAGGTTTTAAAATTCTATCCCAACAGCACTGTTTATCATCTGAAATTCAGTTCAGTTTGTCTGTGAGTCCCCCCCCCCCCCCGCCCCCCTCCTCTACCTGGCTTTGTCTTTGTCCCCACCCCCTACCTACCCTATTATATATATATATATATATTAAGTTTGTTTGTATAAAGGACAAAGTAATGCACAATACAATGCAATTAATGATGGTGATTTTTTTAAAATCCAGAGTACGTTTGGATCTGATATTTTGACTTCCTCAAGAAATGATATCGTCTAGATTAGTAATAGCCTAAATCCTAATTAAAAGTCTATTTAAATTCGAAGACGATTGTCATTTCAAATAGGATTTCAAATCTCGGAATATCCAAAATATTCGGGTAAAAATGGCCGATTATTTGTTTATAGAGGTTTAGTTTTTGTCGAATATTTAAGTTTTTCATTCTTAGCAGGATCATTCATTCATGTTTGGTCTGAATATATTACATTTCAAATGATTTTAATACTTTGACTACGTCATTGGCAGACAATATTCTTTTCGTCTGCTCCTTTTGTTTCAAATTTCCGAATTCGCTCCAAATTTTCCTTTTTTTGAAATTTCAAATTTTCTTTAGTGTTTCCAATTTCATTTTTTCATTGACTATAATTTCAAATGCTTCAAAAGTGTTTTGAACTTTATGCAAATATTTTCTGTGGCTTTCAAAGTATTCTGTCAAAGTCATGTGACATGTCACGTGATTGGGACGCTCCGCCTACATCATAAAGAAAAGAGAACTCTGTATGATGTTTTGTGTTATAAAGTGTGGTGTTGCCGTGCACTATAAAATTCTGTTAGTGATTGATTATTCATAATAAATGTTGAAATAAATTACAAGATTTTCTTAATTTTTGGTCAATTAGAATGATCTCTGATATCAGCTGAATCAAGGATGCTGTCTGCAAGTCAGGGATGAACGCTGAATTGAACGGCACTTACAACACAGAAACATTAGAACGAGCTGTCTGTCCAATTGCAAATAGGGGATTTCAGACAATTAATGAACGCTGAATTGAACGTGTGAAACTAACTGTGCCCACAACCAAACTGCCCCATTTCTGTAAGTGGTTTCAGAGCAATAGAAAACCGTTAGATTAAATCGTTAGATCAAACCGTGTTTAAAGATTAGAGCCACTCAAACTGAATGAGTGCCTTCACGAAAGATGGCTACAAAACTTTTCCTGCTTCTTTTACAAAAGTCGCATAATACAGTCGTGTCAAACCATCATAAGTTGACGAAATCGTGACAAAATATCGTGTTTTTATCGAAAGAAAAACTGAAAATATGAAAAAGTGTTTTTGAGATGACAGATCGTACAATAAGCATCATGAATTAAATTTATTTTAGTGAATTTTAGAAAAGGCGAACACAGTTCAAATGAAGGAGGACATTTTCTATAGGCTTTATAAGATCATAATTGATAAATCAGAGACAGTTACAAAAGTTGGTCTTTAAACTTAAAATGCCATTTCCTGTACCATATTTGGTATAAAAATAGGCAATACAAGAATATTATTGGTATAAATAACAGAAAGTTAACAGTGTTATTAAGTGTAATATTATGAAATGTGGAGTATGTTTGGTATTTATCACTAGACCTCGGGCATTCTAGACTGTCTTTACTACCTAATAACTTTATGATTATTTTTTAAACTCCACTATGCCTCGAGCACTTATCATTTTTGATATTTGATGGACAAAGTATGATTTTTATGATGCCGTAAATAAGAATGGTCGTTGACCCCATGTTCTTCACCTGCCATTATTCTTTACTGATACAAAAACTCATCTTTAATCTAGCATGTAGTTCATCTACATTTACATACGTACCGATTGAAGCGACCTGCATAGATGTTTGACTTGTCTATCTCATTGATTTTGTCGGCTTGTTGACTGTAAGGAATGTAGTGAATGACACTACAATGGGGTGGATTTTTTCATCAACACCCATCCATTCATTCGTCTTCACCTTTTGTATTTGCAACTGTCGAAAGAAGATATATCATAGTTTGAATAGAAATATGAATAAACTATACATTGTGCAATGAGGGAAATTTTTGCTGTATAGCTGCATCCATGTGTATACGAGTTCAGTTATAACGCCTCTTGGGGAATTTTTTGTGGAAATATTTTACAATAACGTAATGAGGAAACTTTTCCCGAAACAGCTACGTCAACTCTCCCACCTCCCACGTCTTTCCGTGGTCTAGGATACAGAACTTGTGGGTGTCGTATAAATTTATAGCAGCATCTGTTTGCATATTGGAACATCTGTTTTAAGGCATCTTTGATCAGTGTATACGAGTATACGATATATATTTTATATTTTTATATTTTTATATTTATATACGCGAGGGGGAGGTTTATTTGTTCAGCTATTTATATATGACTATAATACTCCAATTATAAAAAATATTATTGATTAGTATCTAGATATATCTAGCTATTAATATACTACAATATTTAATGAGATATTTCTGTAATTTTACAAAATGTAAATTGTTGAAATTACGTTATGCTTCATATATATATTATAATACGTATGAGCTGAGCAGTTATCGTTATTTTTTTTTTTTTTTCTTCTAAACGTCATTCTGAAAATCGTTTTAAAAATGTACATAATATCTCGCATGAAGAACCACACTTCCGAAAACAAATTCTCTTTTTCAAAAGATTTTCTCAAGAGTACACTTCAAGACTTTATCGTTTCAAAAATATAATCACAAGCTCCTTTTATATGTATAAGAAAGTTACAATTTGAAGATTATTGTGATAATGCCAGAAACATTGTGCCCCGAGGAGTAGATTGATACATAGTAAAATCTCAGCTAAGTATGAAAAAAGAACCCGGGACCACAATCAGCACCTCTATGGAAGTCTCTCGTCTAGCTGGGGGACATCTGTCAAGATAAGACCTTTCTCTATTTACGTTTCGCCTGTATGAAATATGTTACCAGATATAATCCGGTAAAACGTGTAGAGCCGACATTGTCACAGTGACACGTTTTGTTTTCTTTTACAAGTTTTTAAATTAAAAAATGTGTTACTATTTTTTAAATCTTATTGATTAGATAAAGTATATGAAATTAATCCTATCAAAACAAACAGAGGGCACGCCGGTCATTGCACTTGGTACTTTTTCTGAAAAAAAAAAATAAATGTTTGGTGATGTCTTTGCAAGGAGTTCATCTTGCTGTGGACCAATGTTGACCGTTCTCTTGGTATCGTTCAATAAACAAATTATATATTAAATTGTTTCAAATCACCAGACGAGGAGCTGACGAACAGCTGACAGAAATTCCACACAGTTTTAGAGTTGACGAGGCATTAAAATATCATTGATATCAAAAAGTCACTATTAAATTCGTCAAGGACCTAGCGAGAGTTTGAATAGGTTTATATCTGTCTATAAGAATGTAGTGTTATCACGATCACACCTCCAATAAACTTGCTTTTCAATGGGCTAATCAGTCAGAAGACCTACTGGTTGAAACATGAATGAAAAATTCATTGGTGAAAAGGAATTCGCACTAGTTGAAATTATATAGTTGTTTTACGTCTTATCCAAATCATCCCACCTTATTTTACAGGCTTTCAGTCGATGCCTCTGATATGCTGTATTAGTTTGCCTACAAGTACAATCCAATCAAATCTGCATTTAAAAATTTCCGTGATGTAAGAAAGTTGGTTATTGTAGTCAAGGTATTAGACACAGTTCGTAAAAGCTTGACATTGTGAAGATGTAAGAAAGGTGACTATTGCAGTCAAGGTATTAGACACAGTTTGTAATAGTTTGACATTGTGATGATGTAAGAAAGGTAACTATTACAGTCAAGGTATTAGACAGTTCGTGAAGATGTAAGAAAGGTGACTCATGCAGTCAAGGTATAAGACACAGTTCGTAATAGCCTGACATTGTGAAGATGACCAACTGGTTGATAGACCTTCTATGTTAGTCTACTACGACGGGTCTTGACCCTAACCGCTAACCCTAATCGCTAACCCTAATCGCTAACCCTAATCGCTAACCCTAATCGCTAAGCCTAATCAAAAACCCTCCCTGAAATCCTAAAATGCTATATTCAACAGAGTAAACTATTCTAAAACTTTTCACAATTTTTCTCATATTTTCCAGGTTGATAAATATCTGCCGATAAAGCAACTTTTTGAATTAATTTTGAAATAAACAGTTCTTTATTATGTTTATTAGATATTTTATCAATGACCAATCCCTTTCTCGGAGTATTTTAAGTAAAATAGGATTGTAGATAAGATTAATGTAAATCACAGCTGAGGTTCTATTATATACCAACATAAAGGACTAATAAATCTTAAAGAATGATTGTCTCCTTATTTTTGGTCACAAATTAATTTTACGTCCTGTTTTTCTGCATCTTAGGGACCAATGAAGAATTGTTTCTGCACGTTATGAGCTATTTCAGCATAAATGACAATTGGATTTGCACAATTCGAAAAAGTTTGCTTTATCAAATCAGTTGGACTGAATTCGAAATGTCCGTGATCAAAATTTTACCATTGGAACAAATTTTATTTAGTCGTTTACAAGAAATTAAAATTCGGTTGTTTTTACATGCAACGTTTTAGATAAACATACGACACTCTTCTGATTTCTGCATTCGGCTATATTACCTGACTATATGCCTTTAAGTCGGTATCACTAAAGGACCGCGATTGACGTCACAACTGTGGCATACTATCGTAGTTCATTCATGAACCAGTTCTTTTGATCGTTCGTTCACACTCGAATTCCTGCATATTATCATTGATATATATTATACAGCACGATGATTGTTAGTTGTAATTATTACCTACATAGACGTCAATATATTATCAGAGTTTAATGAAATGTAGGCTAGATATTATACTATTGAGGGGAGGGGAGGGGGGCGTAGGTCGAATGACTGACTTTTAACCGTCGAAGAAAGGATCTTATTTCTGCTGGATGGTATAACATGAGCAGGGTAGGGTAGGGTAGGCTTAGGGAAGAGTGGGGTAGGGTTAGGGAAGAGTGGGGTAGGGTTAGGGAAGAGTGGGGTAGGGTTAGGGAAGAGTGGGATGTTAGGATGATGTCG